CCCAGCATAACCGGTCCTGCCAGACCCCTCCCTGCAAATCCTTAGCACTGGTTTCCAACAGTCAAGCCCAGGCCCCACCCTCAGCTCTGTTATCTCCTCCACATCCAATCTTGAGAGCATCTTTCAGCAATGGGATGTTCTGTGTCTCAGCTTTGGAACTCTCGCACTGAGATCCGTGTAAACACAAATCAAACACTTCCCCAAAAATTGTTTCAGAGAAGCAAACCTCTCTCCAGTGACTCTTCTCCAGTCCCTTGGGAAAGGGACTTGAATTCTATGAAATAATCAGCTCCGATCCAACCTTCTAATGAGACAAGAAACAGTGTCTTGGTGTACAAACATTTACTATATACTCAAGTGACAGCAAGCATGTATTCACCACACCACCACCGCCTCCTCCAATCAGATGTGACCTAACCAACAGAAAATGCTTCATAGGAGACAGGAAACAGGATTCCCACTGAAGTGTTGCACTTCAACTTTCAAGCTAGATGCTCCCCAAACAAGAGGTGAAGGAGTTAGAAGTGGAAACATCCCCACCACCCACATCTCCTGGCTCTTGGTCTTCTCCTTCTCTTTCTCTACTCGTTTTAGCTTTCTCTCCCTTCTAGAGCTTCCTGTTTGTCTCCTCTCCAACACACTAGGTCCTACTCCCTCTCCCTCCCTCCCTTCCTCCCAATTTATTCTTCTTTGGCCCCTGTTCACACCTGTATGGCCACACCCTCTCGCTGAGAATAGGGTGGAGTGTCTTTCCCAGGACCTGCTGTGCTTCTCTCTGAGCCCAGTTTCATTTCTGGTGAATTCCTTGCTGTTGTCAATGTCTTCACTGGCCTAGAAAGCCTGCTCTCCCACAAGCTGGCCCCTTTGTGTTTCATTTATCAGATCTCTGCCTTCTCGTCCAGGCCCTGGGAGACGCTCATGTGATCTGAACTCCCACCTTGGGATTCTGGGATGGTGGAACAGAGGTTTCTTTGATCTTTATAGCAGCTAGAAGTCAAGAATCCTCAGTAAAATGCTCACTTCAATGCAACACATTGACTCTTTTCAATTTCCTACCAACGTTTATAGATGAAACTGGCAACTTGCATGAACTCAGAGGATTTCTCAACACTGGAATAGTGCGATCTTAGAATTTCAAACCCTTAAAGGAGTCTTGGCCAATTACAAGTTCCACAAACCAGGAGTGACCCACCATGGTCACACTATCGAGTCAGGACCAGATCACAACCCTGTTGCCTTCCTGGCCAACAGTCTTACAACTACCCCAAAATTCTCATCACAGTTTCAGCCTGGGCTGGAAGTGTTCTCTATTTCAACACTCTTCAAAAATTTGTGAGGCTGACTTAAGAAATACGAAAAACAGCTGCAGCTACATAAGGCAAAGAGCACCCACAACAGAGGAATTCTCCTTAGTTCCAAATTCACTCTCTTCACATCAGGGAGGAACTGTGGGCCCCAATGCTTTGTGTAAAAGCCAGAGAGAAAGGCAGCAACCACAAGTGTTTGGGGTTTTGGGGGGGTGGTTATTTGGTTGGTGTTTTCTTTTTTGTCTTCATGCTTCAGTTTCAGTAAAATCTTTGGGTTAATCTGAGGGAAATGGCTTTAGCAGTAAGGGCACCGTGGACTGACAGCCTGTAGACAGCATCTTGAGGTTGTCTTTTTGGGGGATGAGGTTCTGGAAATTCAAGTAAACTCATAACTGGATCCACATGTGGACTTCCTACATTGCTGAGTAGCAAGGACAATCCAGAAATTCAGGGTCAGCTGGGCAGAACCAAAAAGATTCTCTAGAAACTATGATCAGAAAATGCCAGTTCTAGGATAATTAAGGATATAAGCCCTTCTCAAGTGACTGATGCTCAGATTGCCAGCAATTAAACAGAAAATCCCTTTGATTGGCAGACTGCTCCTGTAGTTACCATGATACGTGGTAAATGCATAGGTGTAAACCACATGAACTATGGGCCAAATTACGGGACAATCCACAAAAGATCAAATTAGAAGCTTGTGTTTCTGGTTGAATTGATTTAACTATCACCTGGTAGGCAATAACACTGGGTGTGTCCCTCTGAGTATGTACAGATGAGAGTTCTAAATTTCTTGGAGCTTTTCCAGTAGGCAGCAATGCATAGACATGAGGTAAGTTAAAGAAGATACCATATTTGTATGCTTAGAAAATTAAGTAGTTCAGAATCAAATTACTTAGATTATGGTTACTTAGGTATATAGTTTTGAAATTTCCAAAATGTTGTTTTGGAGGCTCAGAAGGAAGAGACAGGGAGGGAGGAAGGAAGTTCTGTGGCTCTTCATGCTGTATTAATTTAGTAATATTAAATACGAGTTAAGTGTCTAGAAATTAAGGCACATTGGGTGAAACAACAGCAAAACCAAAGTACATATTTTCAAGATCCTTTCAGCTCTGCAGAACTCAGAGAAAATTGTCTTCTCCGTTTAGGAAGCTTTCATCATTAGAGCTGTCCAGCGAAGGGAGATGAGTATAGAGCTGCCCTTAGATATCAGAGAATTCTCTGAGGGGAAATTTCAACAAGCTTATAATCACCGTCTGTCCAAGGTGATATAAATACTGAATTTCTGCATATGATAGGAGAATGAATGAGTTGATCTTCAACATCCCTCCCAAATTTAGATTTCTATGAATGAAATAAAACACGTAATAGAACAAATTTGCTTTGTGCCCTTTTCTGTAGCCACTCGAGGTATAAACTCCATCAGGTTGTGCAAAATCTACCAAAAAAGTAGCTTTATTTCCTCTTTAAGCTTTTCTAGGTCTCTGATTATGCTCTCTCACCAGAGTGCACTGTATTCAGCAGTAATATTAATTCCCAAGGGCTGCCCAGCCCATGCAAGGTGGTCTCCACAAAGCCCATTCTCGAGGCTGTGAACTAGACAGGCTTAATCTGGTCTCCGGAGGGAAGCTGAGAAGGCTGCATAAATCACCCTGAGTCTGTTCTGGGTCTGTAGAGGGGGTGTCTTTCCTCAAAGTACTGCCTGATACTGCTGGGCGGTGGCCAGTTTCTGAGGATGTGGTCTGCTCTAGGCTGTTCCCTCATGGCCATCTGCCAACTCCCAAGACAGTTTAGTACCCCCTGAACAATGTAAAATCTGGGGGCCCTCTGAAAAGGCACCAGACAGGATATCCAGCAGCCTGGACAGCACTCCACCCTCACCCCGTTCTTCAGCATCTGGGTAGATCTGGATCACCTCTGAAGTTGGGAGGCCACAGGGGGAAAATAATCTCCAATTTCAGGATGGTTGTTGAAGACCTAACAGCTGAAGTCCAGAAAAATTCTCCCAACTGAAAGATTCTCCAAGTGCTTAGAGGAAAAGCAGAGAGCAGAAATCAGATCACAGGGTTTTTTTTTCAATTGCCCTTGAACTCTAGGGAAAAAACAAGCTGCATATTTTCTCACTTATAAAGCTACAGTGTAATGTGAACCACTCTACAAATAATGCAATTCTTGATGGCTACACCCTCAGGATTGTTGCTGTTTTCCATTTGCTCGCTGGTTAGAGGTTGCTTATTAGTTTTATTCTGCACATAACTAAAAGAAAAATTCATATTATCTTCTTGGGATACCATAACTATGGATTTAATAATGGCTTTCTTAATTCACATCCGTGTAATCTGGAAATAATAAACAAGTTTGAAGCCCAGGTAGAAATTCTCTGCTTCTTGCAGAGTTCCCCTCCTACTTACTTAATTACCCCCTCAGGGGCAGTTTTACAAGGAGTTTTGCCTGTTCAACGAACTGGCTGATTACATCTAAATCTTCTCTCCAGACCAGCAAGCTGCATTTCTAAAGGAAAACCCTCACTTCATCAGACATGCTGAATCCTGTCATTTTCCTGTCTTGTTTACATGGGGAAAAAATAACCAGTAAGAGTGTTGCAATGGGTCACACCTCCAACTGAATGGGCCACTCAACTGAAATGCTAATTTAATAAAACAAAAACAAACAGAAACAGTGCCTCTCTTGGTTTCCCTTGGTTCACTTTATGCTTTGCATGCGTATTTGCATTTATGAAAGCACCTTTTGGGAAAGGGTAAAAAGAAAAATGTTTCAAAAACAATTGCTGCAGGAAAATTCTGCATCCACTTAGAAAACTTTTTATTGTTTCTTAGATCGACTGTCTTTCTACTTAGCCCTGAAACACAGCTGTTTCTGGGGAGGAAGTACCACACGACTCAACAGGTTTTCATAGGACTTGATGAAGCCCCTGTGCCCCGCCCTCTCCTCCAAGACTGGTTCTGCTGGTCTCCCTCACATGCACATCTGGCCACAGAGAAGAGACTGGAATCCACATGGGGCTCCTGATCCCACCACATGAACCTCTCCTGGATTTTATATGGAACAACTTTTGCTCCTCTCTCTCTATTTCCCTGACAGTTTTCTTTATAACAAACCAATCCCTTTCCCCGTCCTGTGAGAAAAACAAAAACAACAACAACAAAAACCTCAAATTTAAGCAGAAGCGAATGTACAAATACTAAAAGTAAAAGACAAAAGTAAACTGAAAACTGTATATCTATCCATCATCTCCCCCCCCCAAAAAAAACCACCAGCAAATAACCCATAAGCAAAAAGAGACTCAAATCCTACAGCAATTTGAATCAAAATACAAAAGTTGAAAATAATATCTGACCAATTCAATATGTCATTTCACAGATATGCAGAGTTTCTTCCATAAAGGAGATGCCATCCAACTTTATTCCAAAGTCTGCTCCTGCCACACCTTCAGAGTGAGAACTCAGTTGCTACAAAAAAAAAATACAGCCCGATCCTGCTGATTTTCCTTCTCCTCGAAATTAATTTCTGTGAACTTTCAGGAGAAAATGGGCTCAGTATCTACTTTTAGCTAAAAGTTTTGCAGACTTCAGAGAACCATAGAAAACTAGCAGAGTAAACCAAGGCTTAGATGAATTCAGAAGAAGGAGAAGAGAGACGCAACATGCAGCTCCCCAGAGGGAACAGTCCTACCTGGAGGATCTGGTGACAGAGGCAGACACTGTAAGTGGCCCGAGCTGGCAGCTGCCTGGTCCGCTCTTCTGGAGGTATGTGACCGCAGTGAGGGGAGGGATCTGCCTCCTGAGGTTATAAGTTTCCTCCGCTGGTGTGCTGGGGTGTGTGATGGGCGGTTTCTTTTCCCTGGGTTTTTAAAGGAGTTTCTATGAATCAGTCTGGCTTTAAAAAAAAAAAAAAATGTTGGTAAGCTACGCCCTGCTAAGTTGGCAGTCAGTCAAAAAGTGGCTGGGAGTGAGCCACCAATTCAGAAAAGCCTGTCGTAGGTTCCCTCTGACTCAGATGCACAGACCACAGTGGAAAAAGGAGTGACATTGCTTCAAATGAGTAATAGGAGTCATACAAATAGATTTGTTTACTGAAGTCCAAGCCTCCTCCCCAGAAAGGAGACTTGGTTACCATGGACATGAGCAAAATACAGGTTCCAGCCGGGGAGGAGGGGGCACGGTCTCCTGTCAATTGAAATTGAGCTAATCATTGAACAAGATTTCTGTTCTCCCTTGTATATCAAATGCATCAGCGGCTGCTCATTGTCAGGGATTTATTTCTAACCTCCCTGCTTAACCTTTATGCTATCCTGTAAGTAACTGTGGGACGTGACCCAGAAAGCAGAAAGGGACCCACCTTGAGTGCTTGTGACATGCTTCTGAGTGACACAGAACTGATTGGCAGCAGACAGTCTCTAAGCTTTAATTATGCTCTCTGAATGCCCATATGGACCTACACATCCCAGGAAGAAGTGCCCTAAAGAAGGACTTCACTCTCTGATCTCCATGTAATAATCATCTGAACCTTGTTCCATAATTGACTTTCTTTAACCCAGCAGTGGCATGATCATCATGGCCACCTCCCTGTGCCACTCCTTTCTTTCTGTTCTGGAGCTGGGAGGGGCCTGCAAAGGCATCTAGTCCCACAGCCTAGGCATTCCACCAAGGGAGATGCAGGGCTTACCTGGATGCCTGAGGATAAGCTCTCACTTAAACTCACTTACTGGCTGAGTGACTTTGGGCAAATCACCTACCCTCTCTGTTCCTGTTTCCTTGTATATAGGAAATTGGTACCTATCTCAAGGAGTTCTGGTGAGAAAGTCTTGCATGGAGTTTACAACGATGCACATATTAAGCACTTACTGTTAGCTACAATGATGATTTTCCTGAAGAAACTCAGGCCAAGAGTAGGGCAAAGTGACTTTTCCAAGGATGCACGGTAGACCAGCAGTAACAGCTTGGATCCAAGTCTAGCAACCCCAAGCAATTCTATTCCTGTTAAGCTCTGCTGTATCCCAATAGACTATTTCAATTCCAATGTACCTATGCTAATTTACTCACTCACCAATAATGCTACACATCAGCCTTCACTGGGTCCTGTTCAGAATTGAGTCACAGCAGTGAACAAGATCCCTGACCTCTTGGAATTTAGATTGTGTAAAAGGATAGAGAATGGACTTGTGGCAATTCAGCAAAATACTGATAAAGTTAGGTGGCAAAATTATAGGTAAATTTTGTTGCTTCTGGTCACATGTCTGTATTTTTCAAACCTATATTACTTTGGATTTTAGGGGGAAAAGTTTAAAAGGAAGAAAATATTTTCTAAAGTGAAGGAGGGAGAAACCACACACACACACACACACACACACACACACACACACACGGAGTGATTTGATGCCACTTCTCTACAATTTCCTGGGAACTGAATTCTATCCCTATAAAAATAACCAAGTCTAGATATTTTCATTAAAAACTGATGATGTGAAAAAGATTGCATCAGTTTCGCAAGTATTTCCTCATCACCACCATCCCCCATCACTCATTTGATGATAAAAGTCTGGGAGACGCCACTCCCAGCAGTGGCCCCTGCCCTCAGGAAGGGAGGGTGCCTGCAGGTGAGGCCCGATCCTCCCAGGCTGTGGGCATGGGCACCTTCTCCCTGCCAGAATCTGTCTCCTGAGACTTCGCCTACCCTTGGGGTACGTTTGCCCTCTAAGGTCTTTTGCCAGCTGCATTTTTTAGAAACAGAAACCCAGAGCCAGGGAATATTGGAAGGCAGCATTCTCCCCCAGCACCGTACTTAACCCCTTGGATCCCTTTCTGGGTTAGCAAAGGGAAAAAGCAGAAACTTTCCTTTGAAATACTTGAGTAGAGGAGTCCCTGGTCCTTCTGGATTTCCACAGTGGATTGAAGGCATAGACAGAGGGAGGGGCTCTGAAAGAAGTTCTAGTTTTTCTTTCCTGCTGCCAGGCTGGGGTTGGAGCCAGTGATCTGCCCCCCTGCTTTTTAGCCATAAAATGAGTAGATATTACAACCTTCCACATAAGCCTAATGAATCACGTCTTCCCACACACTTTGGAGATGTTTAGGCTTGGAGAGAATACTCTTGAGCTTTACAAACACACACATACACACACAGTGGTGCCCATATAGAGCCAAATATTTAGTGTAAATATTTTTAAGATACATTCAAGAATTTTCAAGTCTCATAATTGACCCTTGCATTATTACTGGGCTCATTTTATAAAACAGTTATCAAGTTTGGGAAAGAAGTCAGCCCTGTTTTGGCCAAAGCTCCTTTTTTATTGTGACTCTGAATATGATTTAAAAAAATAACACCTGACTCTTTCATGGCTGCAAGCAGAGGGTTACAAGAACTTGAATGGTAAAGTGCTTAAGGGTCTAAAACACAGTGCTCTCTGGCATCTACGTGGTCTTTCCAAACAATTTGGAGAAATTTGGGTTTTTACTGTACTCCCATTTCCCCCACTTGGAAGGTAGATAAGACACATTCATTTTCCATGTAGGTAAAAACTGGGCAAATTTCACTAGAGCTCAGTAAATCCCAGTAAATCTCAGTAAATAATGTCCCCTCTACTCTGGTGTAACAGCATCACTTGGGCTCAGGAATATGCCCCCTCCTTCAGAGCAACAAGAATCCACGTCTGGCCTGGTGCCATTTGGGGCAGATTTTCAAGTCTGAACTGGCGTAAACACTTTTAATGAATATATGAAACCAGGGCTTTTAATGACTGATCCAAGAAGTCTCCAAAGGTAGGTCTTGCCCTGGCAGCCCACGGAAAAGAAAACTAATAATAGTTTGAATGTGTTTATGCTCCAGCTCAACCAGAAAGAATCCCAATCTTTGCAGCATGTTCCTCCAAGTTATTATACGCGCAAGGGATGTCGGTGTTAATACTAGCACATGCTGAAAGATAAACAGATTGCAAAAAGAAAAAGTTATACAGTTTCTTCCAAAGTGCAATGAATGCTCATTCCTTGCCACACCTCTGAAATTTGAGAATTAAGCAGAAATTCTCTATTCCTCTCTGCCTTCCTTCCTTTCACTTCTTTCCACTGTGGTCCTCTCTTTGTTTTTCCCCTGGAACATTTTCTTCTTGCTTTTCTTGTTAATTTTCTCAAGTATCTCTCAGTAACTGTAGTTTTAATATGGCTTTACAAATGAGAAGTCTCTAAACTATTTGTGTCCTGTCCTCCTTGTCGCTTAGCTGGTCTGTGCTGAAACTGCTCTGGAAAGATAATACTGATGAAATTCGGGGAGCATTCCAAGAACACGGGCTTCTGGCCTGACACTTAGAGCTGAACAGAGAGGAAAGTCTCACTAATGAAGGCATGCACATCGGTACAGAAGAGAGGTAGCCATGTCAACAACGGCATATGAACTCAGCAGAGAAAAAGCCAACCCTGCTATGCCCGACAGTTACCAGATGGAGCTTAATTGCTGTGATCAATTTCTTTAGGCAATTGAGGATGCACATAGATGAATGAAATGGCTGGAAGAAAGGACTCCTGGACCATGGCCACAGGGAATACAGCTTCATAGTCAGAGAAGCACAATAAGCACACAAATAAAAAAGCAGTTGTGGCCAAAATAAAAAGTGAAAACATTCTCTCTCCAATGGATGTCAACTGCAATATTAGAAGGTGGACAGCTGGGGAATATTGAACATATGGGTTTTCTGTTGCACTTTGCCCTTCATGCTCCTAAGAGCATTGTTTCTATGATTGCATGAACCTTTGCAGATAAAGAACTGATTATTCACAATTAAAGACTGAACAGCAGATCCAATAAGTACTCTCTGGCTACATAACAGGTGCTCAGTTAAAACATAGTACAATTAATCAGCAAAGTACCTAACATCCAAGTTTTTAAAGACATCTCACGCTTTCCTTCAAAATTTCTTTTGGTCAAACTCAGATTCTTGTCAGACCACACCTCTAGCTAGGCCTACACAGCTTTGGGAAAAGTAGTTGGGACCTATATATCAATCTGCCCAACGAAAATTGTCATCGAAGGGGACACAAACCCAAGCAATCCAACCTCTTGTATTTATTATTATTAATGCATATTAATTTTACAAATTAACAGTTCACTCTGACATTTCCAAACATGTAGATGGTATGCTTGGATCATATTCACTTTCCCTTGTACCTATATTTCTCTCCCCTTTGTTAATCTATCTTTTATTTTTGGCCATCTTTTTTGTTTGTTTGTTTCCACATAAGAGAAAACATGCTGTATTTCTTTTTCTATGTTGGTTTATTTTGCTTAATAATGTGATTTCCAGATCTATTCGTTTTCTTAAAAATGACATTATTTCACTCTCCTTTGTAGCTGAATAATATTATATTGTGTATAGATGCTATATTTTCTTTACACATTCATCTGTTCATGAGTACTTTTTAGTATAGAGATCTTAAAACATATTCCTCACTGGGACTACATGGTCAGCAAACCACACAAGACCCAGGGACATGGTAGCAGTGATCTTTCAAACCTGATTAACAATTGGAAAAGCATGAATTGTTTCTCATGAACCAAAAACAAACACTGGGGAGAAAACCTCAATTAGTTGGCCTCTTAGAAAAATGGGGTATTCTTTCCAGTTAAATTTTAGGATAATTGGTTGAAATGTCAACAAGACCTCTTTTAAACCTTTAAGTTCCATGCATGTGCACACACACACACACAGGCATAAGCCTCTCCATATACACATATGCCAGGTCCAGTGTACACTTGTAAGATACTGGACTGGGCAAAGGGGGCTCTCCATGCTGTGTGACCTGGCAGAGTCCATGCTGCAGGACTCACAGCCATTCTCCCCTGGACAGGACTGGACAAAGGCTGATGAACCTG